ATATATATATATATATATATATATATATATATATATATGTGTGTGTGTGTGTGTGCATACATACACATACACAGATAAAGCGAACTTACCAGGTATCTAAGATTGTGTATTATGGGACCATTTATCTTTGGTATAGAGACGTCACAATTATTTTAAGCCAATAGATGTCAAATTGGATGGTTTAGATTGTATCACGAAGTTCAAAATTTGTTTTTTGGAATTTTGAGACTAGTCAATGATACTTTTACAACCACCCGATTTGAAATCTGACAAACAAGAGTAACTGTTATTTTCTTGTACCAAAAGTAAATGGTCTCTTTGTACACTTTTTCTTTAATTATGTGTGTGTGTCCATATGTACCTGATCTGGATCTGACTTGGGTCTAAGTTTTGGACCCTATGGATCAGGTCGGGTCCAAGTTTTGGATCGACCCAGCCCAATTGACGCCCCTAACTACCAGTAACTTTTGTTGTCTAAACTATTGTTTAGAAAATGGCATTCCATATTGGATTTGCCCATTCTGGATTGAGAATTGGTAGCGGCTAACTGGTTCCTGTTAAAACCAGGAAACAGGCCCGTTCCTCCGGAACCACCTAGTTTCTTCAAGGAAATTAGTTTTTCTGTGAGGGAACTAGGTGAACAATTTCCCAGGCTGGATAACCCAATCCAGTTTTTCCAACAGTGTCTTAACTCCAAAGCTAAAGGCTTGTGGTCCTCTTGTCTTCAAGATAGAGCTATCCAATAACCCCAGTCTTCACGTTTCACCTGATCAACTTTATTTCGGACCATTCAACAAGGCACATTATTTTTTTAGCACCCAAAGATTATATGCTTCCGTGGGAGCATTACAATCACTCCCTCGGGTGAAACCTACCCCGGAGGAGTATTATTTGGACATACATTTTGGATTTCTTAACCAAGTGAGCAACCCAAAAACAAAGTCATATGTAGTGTAATGGCTAGAGAAAATAACATCCTAAGATTAAACAATAACTCTCAAATTTTTTGTAGTTAGACATAAGTATTCAAAAAACTCAGGCTCTGATTCTTTTAAAATATATTTATTTGGTAATTTTAAAATGTATCTCAAAATTTCAAATCGAAAACATCCCCTTAAATAGCTCTTTGCTTGACAGACTTAAGTGCGTAGTGTA